TACGTTTTTTATATTTAAAGAATTTGCCACTGACGATTCAAAGGCAATCATTTGATACCATCTGCAACAGCCTAGTTCATAAATGTAAATGTAGTTGCCCTAATAACACGTATGAACATCACTACCGCTAGGTTTGCCTTTGCACAATGACATTGAATCAGTTTTTAGTTCTAAAAATGAATATTCTGTAGAAAACAAATGCTTATTATAAGTTGCACCAGTCCATCATTTACAAGATTAACATGAAATGTCTTATTTGTGTTCTGTCGCTGGTAACATTTCTATATCGTATATTGCATTTGTGTAGAGGGTTTGCTTTGTCTTAATAGTGGTTTCTGCTTGTTATGTGTGTGTTTGTGTGTGTGTGTATTTGAATAAATGTTTCTTTGTGTGTTTTTAAAATGTTTTAGGCATATATTTATGGTGAGTTTTTATATATATATATATATATATATCTGTGTGTGTGTATTGTGTGCTTTTATTGACAGTATGGTTGGTCTGGTTGAATAAGGCATAGAGGACTTATGGAGTTTAAAGAGCCATTATTGACAGGTCACAGTCAGTGGTGTGGGGGCCTATTGACTTCTTGATGCGTGTGTGTGTGTGTGTTTGGGATGGATAGATGTGTTTTCATATGTAGGGCCTTTCATGTGTTTTCAGCCAAGTTAGGCATGTGTGTTTTGTGCAAATCCCATTCGATTTCTGGCCATTGATCTTACCTTGCATGTGTCATTGGTTGCAACTTCTGTTGATGTATGTGTACTGCATGATGACACATCTCACTGCGTCCGTGTGGCGGTCGGTATCTCGGAAAGTCCCTGATATAGCTGGAAGCAGAAGGAGATTGAGTGGGTGGGGCCTCAGACATTGCCCTCGAGGCCCCACCCCTTCCTCTTGTAGAGGAATCTCAGTCTCACAGCCAGGCGGCTGAAGTATTTTAGGAACAGCGTGTGTGTCAGTGTCTGTGTATGTGTGAGAGAGCCAAAGACAGGTCGACACACAATATATCAACATACATCAGTACCTGCTTACATTTACATACATACACTCTTTGGACATTTATTTTCTGGTGTCTGCTAAAGCAAATATCACTATTACTATTGCTCATACTGTTTGTGCTACAGACATAACTGTTATCTCAAATCATGACTTGTGGAGAAGAGTGAAAAACACTTTAAAAAATCTTTAAAAAAGTCCTTAGTACTGCATAGCACCACCCTAACAACCCATAACACCTTAGCATTGTGGCGACGACTTCTGTACAAGTAAACACCACTCACATTTTGTCTACTGTATGTTCATTAGAGATACACTCATACATGTTTCAGCATATATACATATATTCTGAATTGTTATTTTGTTTTTTAGACTTGCATTTGCGTTTGTAATTTGTTATTTTGTTTTCAGAATTGGGATTTGCTCTGCACTTCTCGGCCACCGTACAGATCCCTGCTTTGTGTGCAGCTGGCAGTTTGGTAGTGAGGGTTTGTTCGTTATACACTTTTTCATCCCTGATATTTAAATTTTTCGTAATATTAAATGTTACATAAATGTCAAACCTTTAAAAGCCTATACATATCAAAGCTCTTAAAAGGTGGTTCATTTAAAAAAAAAAAAACCTGACTGAACCTTTAACCTGACTGAAAAGATTTTAGTAAAACAAAACAACTATTTGTCTCCTAACTATGGACAACCAAAGTATTAAATAACTTGGTAAATAATACAAATAAATTAATATATTTTGTAATAGCCCATATAACACAAAACACTTCATGATACCCACTTGCACAAAACTATACTGCAATTATAGATTCACCATAACATTTCCAGATGTCACATCTGATAATAATAGCTTTGTTTTCTGAAAATATATGATTTACCCATTAGGTGCCATTTGGAAATTTCACCTTTATGAAATATTAAAGCAAACTGCACATGGTGTCATTTTAAGTGCTTTGGTCCTCCACACCAAACTGGGGAAAAAGCTCCTATAAAAGGTTTATGTACAACTTGCTGCTCAAAAATCCCTCGCAACTTAGCTTGCTATAGTACAGTAATTGTGACAGTGGCTGTAATGAGGCACATATTAAGCAATCATTGCACATTTAATAAATTTTTCTCCTATTGAGAAAAAAAACAAAAAAAACACCAATTGGACAAGCAGAAGAGATCAGAGAAATTTTCCATTTTCAAAAGCGCTTTCAAAAGACTTGAGGATTAAAACAGTGTTTGCAACAAGACCTGCATCACCTGTTTAACAAACACACTAGGAAAAACCATGCAGACAAAGCATTTCAGACTTTAGTAATCATTTTATTACACAGTTTTAATCAACACACAAAGCTCAACGAGCCTGTCAGGAAATTAAATATACAGAAGTTTGTCTGTGAGGAGTTTGTGTCCTCTCACCCAGGGACCCAATCGAGTCTGGCGGAACCATGTTAGCATCTAATTCAACAAGAGCAGGAAAAAGAAGAAGAGGAAAAAAAGCAACCTAAGAGTTACAAGGGTGGGTTGGGGAAGAGAGAGAAAAAAATTAAACAAAAACAATAAGACGTTGTAGAGACTGCTTTAAATAACTGGTCCGAAACCCTCCATATGGTGAATGTTTGTGAAGTTGGTCATGGCTAAGGAAAGGGGTAGAGACAGTCTTCGCAATGACAAATGGAAACAAAATATATATATTCATAGTTTTCAAGTCCATTAGAATACTCCGGAGAAGAGGACAGGAGGTCCATTTTCTTTTAATTAACTGCTATGATTTTAAAAGAATTCCTTATACCTATGGGGAAAAGCATTAGGGCAAACACAGTGAGCAGTAGTGGTCGACCGATATTGTTTTTTTTGACAGCCGATACCGATATCTTGGAAAGCAGTGTGGCCGATATAATTTTATTTATTTTAATTAATATTTAAGAAATTTGAAATCATTTGAAAATGTATTAAAAAAATAAATGTGTTAAATAAACATACTTATACATTAGATGACAAAGCATTTTTCACAAATAAATAAATATTTAATACAAATTTTATTAAAAAGGAAGTAAACACTGTACCCAACAGGGCACTCAGTATTCTGGGAAGTTTGTGTGCATTAACCATATTTTTTCAAATAAAGCCAAGGTAACACTCATTTTACATACAGCACACAGTGAAAATGACATGAATATGACAGTGGGCAAATGCATAAAGCGCAGCATAATTTAAAATCACGAGTTTAAAGTTTGTCGATCGCGCATCTCCAGTGAAGCTGAAACTCTCCTCCTGTCAGCATTCAATACGCACGGATCGACCGTCACGCAGAGAACACGCAATCATGCAGGATACACATACACACTTCACAAGATCTCACAGCTGGATCCGACTAAGTTTCCAAGGTTTTTGAAATTATATGTTTATTAGACATTCAAAGATTTGTTTAAATTACATACATAAAAGTCCCGCCTCGAACGCATCAGCCAAACAGGAAAGCTTATCGGCCAATGCCGATATTTAAAAAATGCCAAATATCGGCCTTGGCGATAAATTGGTTGACCACTAGTATGCAGTACTGATCTAGTGCATAAGAGGACACTTACTTTTCCCTGTCAGTCTTGTAAATGCGGGCGATCTCAGGTACTAAGGGGTCGTCCGGATTATTTCTGCCATTGGGTCGGGTCATATTCACACCTTAAACGAACCGTACCAGAGTTCATTTGGAAGTGGACCGAAACCACCTCTTCAGCTGGGTCTCGGTGCGGTTGTTTGATCCGCACCCGAGTGCAATTGCTGTATTCACACCTGACAAAAAGGTCCGCACCAAGAGGGGAAACGAACTCGAGTTCGATTCAATCGAACCAAATAAGACAGGTGTGAACACACCCTAAGAAACTGGAATTAATTGTTGTAAAACAATGTTTGAAAACGGAGGTGTACCTTTGGAGATGGTGAGAGCTGGTGACCACTGTGACCTCAGAATATCCAGACAAATGCTGCCATTGCTGTTGATATTTGGGTGATAGATTCTTGTGGTAAATGCAACCTGAGAAAGCAGCGAGACAAAAATAAACATGCAAATCACAACCTTTACAGGCTAACCAGTTAAATTACAGCCAACTCTAGAACAGTTCCTAATCACTGAATATTGTAATCCAAACACTGGCTTCCTTCAAACACATTACTTAAATTCATCGATAGGATTCTCTGCATTCTACAACTGCATATGACATACAGTCATAAGATGAATTATTTGAATATACAGTGGTGTGAAAAAGTTTTTGCCCCCTTCCTGTTTCCACCTTTGAATGGCTCAAGAAAAACAAAATTAAGGTTTTGGAGTGGCCAAGTCAAAGTCCAGACTTAAATCCGATTGAGATGCTGTGGCATGACCTTAAACAGTCCATTCATGCTCAAAAACCCTCCAATGTGGCTGAATGAAAACAATTCTGCAAAGAAGAGTGGGCCAAAATTCCTGTGAAAGACTCATTGCCATTTATCGCAAACGCTTGATTGCAGTTGTTGCTGCAAAGGGTGGCACAACCAGTTATTAAATTTAGGGGGCAATTACTTTTTCACGTAGTGCCAGGCAGGTTTGGACAGCTTTTTTCCCTTAATAAATGAAATCATAATTTCAAAACTGCAGTTTGTATTTACTCAGGTTATCTTTGTGTAATATTAAAATTTGTTTGATAATCTGAATCTTAAGTGTGACAAATATGCAAACAATTAAAAAAAACAGGAAGGCGGCAAAAACTTTTTCACACCACTGTATGGTGGGAGGAAAAACATTTCCTTATGTCATGACAGAAAGTACAGGTTGGTAAAATGAGGATTCAAAGTGACACATAATTAAGCAGCACCTGAGAATAACCAAAACACCTGAGAAGCTGTGCCCGAGTCAAACAGGTGTGGATATTACTGACCTTTGGCGGTTTGAAGGGGTAATCTGTGGGAAAGTGTATGGTCAAGAAGAACACTCCGCCTTGGTAAGGACTATCATTCTGTAGGGTAAACATTTAATTAGCATGAATTATATAAAAAAAATATATATCAATTCAATAACTCAAAATGATCTACATTTACTCAATATTTCAAGACAACAACATGCTTCAAGTTCCAGAGATTCCTGTAATGTTGCAGGCTACTATAGAAGAAACAAAAAATAAATACTTACTGGTCCCATTATTGTGGCCTGCCAATGAAACACTGAAACAAGACAAACAAATGTCAGAGAAAGGCTTTATCAGTCGCACCATGTTCATCATATTCTTAAGTCTTTTTAAACCTCAAAGGGTATAATTCTTGTTTGCAAGTGTTTTCAGAATTAAAAGAGCCCACTGAGGAATACAGTATAAAATATGAAGCAAATTTGGGTACAATTATGTTGTCATATTTCAATCAAGTCTCTGAGGCTCTAAGTGGGTCAGATGGTTGCACGAGTCAAGAGTTTAATAAAGTGGTGACTCTTTTGAGGGAAGCTATATGTGCTGTTTGTCGGTTCAAACTAGGGCTGCACAATATTGGAAAAAACTCACATTGCGATATTTTTTTTTTTCTGCGATATATATTGCGATATGGAAAAAAAAAAATCAGATGACTTCAATAGCTCTATTTGGAAAAAACAATCAGTGATTGGGGTGATTTTGTAGGCGAGTAAATCAGCATAGGAAATAAACAAATTACAAGCATACATAAATAACAGAACAAAGCTACAAATGAAATAAGCAGTGCTTTATATTTTTCAGGCAAGTAACAGTATTCAGGTACAGAAATTGAATAATCAAATGTAAAATAACACTGCATAGTTTTCACTATAAATTAAATCTAATAAATCTGTTTAAGCTACAAAAGTGATTTTTCTTTGTGTTTTGTTGTTTGTTAACGTTCATGACAGAAAGCAACAGGAACATTAAACTGCTGTGAACCAATATACTGTTACACATCCATTTTCTTTCTCATTTGTTTACCTTCACCTAAGCCATAAGCAACTGCGTTTACTAGGATACTTGCAGAGCACAGTATTTCAAGCACAAATAGATGCGGAAGTGAACGAAATTCGGTGTTCACATTCATCTGCGTGGCTTTCACCGTGTCAACACCGGATGCGAGCGACGCGACAAAATACCATAGAACCCATTTTAATCAGTGATGCTGTGGTGACTGTCTACACTGGATGCGGCGTGACACGACAAATCCCCGACAGTAAACTGATGCCTTGTTTATGACGTAGGCTACCGACACAAAGTTCAAATGATATGCAACGGTCGCTTTGTTGCGTCCAGTGTAGACAGACTTTGGGGCCGTTCACATGTCGCGCCTAAAAACGCGTGGAAAACGCCAGCCGCGCCGCATTCTCTTTCTTTCCAAGAGGGTGGGAGGTTGCACTTTCGTGGCGTCTGCCGTTGCTAAGCGACCATGACCTGCGCTCTTCGCGACGATGCGGAAGTGTCAAAGGATAAACGGATTTCCAGCACTGAATATCCCTTGCAGTAGCCCTGCTATTAAATGTATTTAAAATGGGTATCACTGTACAGTTGTCGCGTCTGGTGTAGACACCGTGTCTGTGTGTGAGCAAAGAAAACGATGCTGAAACGATATATCGTGCAGCCCTAGTTCAAACAATCCATCGTCTTGAGGTTGAGCTTCATACTTAATATTGATGAACACCATCCATCACAGGACACAGAAAACACGATAAGACAGGAAAAAGCACTTCTGACAGAATAGGGCCTTTCCCACCGCTTTAGTTCAAGAACTAAATGTACAGTACTAAAGTACTGGTACGATTTTGCGCAAACTATTTCCCAGTACCATTTAAAGGGTTGCATTCGCACTGACAGTGTACGTAAGACGGTCGACACACAGTGACGTCATTTGTGCGCGGCGTTCAACAACGGAAACAAAGAACAACGTTAACAACAGGAGGATGCTGTGATCGGAGCTGTGTTTTTGTTGTCTCGTGGGTTTCACAATAATGGACATGAAATGTCGACGTATAGGCTACGTAAAGCGATTGAAAGAACGGGAAGGAGGACTAAGAATTTCCAACGACAACTGGCAGTGCTACATTTGATACAGTTCCACAATTAGTTCTGGTACTATGAAAAGGTTCCCGCGGTGCGAAAGGCCCTTATGTTTGAAGCCACTATGACATTCAGTTCCTATAAGTTCTGTATACACAAGACACCATGAAGAACTGATTCTATTAATTTAACATGCTAATAATAAAATCATATCTATGCTTTAGAGACTCAGCAGAAAGTTAGCAGAAAGGTGGTGACTAGTTCTTACAACACAAGTATTTCTCCTCAAACTTAACGTACATACTTAAGAAGATGTTTCTACTATAAGGTAACTATATGTATGTGTGTGTGTGTGTGTGTATACACACATACATAATATATATAAACAAAGAGCAATTTTTAATGCAAAGAAAGTAAAAACATGGCAGACTTAGGAACTTATGATTTGAATGAATTGGCTCATGAAAATGAAGCGGCTCCCTGATGCCCGCAATTTATATACAGTATAATTGCCCAATGATATAACTGCGAGAGAAAATGCTGAAATATATATTTTCCTCCCATCGCATATTTATTCCCTTTAGGGGTTCCGTATTACGTGGGGGGGGATCGCGATGCCAGCTCAACATCGTGATGTCTATCAGCCATCGGCGATGGACGATGGCATCGTCAATCGGTCAAACCCTACGGCTACCACAAACTTACACCCCACCCTCCCAAAAAATAACTTATAATTTTTGTACTTTTTGGAGGGGTTTCCCCCTACCTCATTACACTTGTGGCATTACCGATCAAAAATGATCAGCCAATATAAAATTGCTTATAAACAGGGTTGCCTTATTCAGAACCGGAACCGTGAGCAATTTCTAAGTTTCAGTTCCGAAAACGGTTCTGGTGCGACCCGTGACCAAGCACTGTGAGCGTAAAGGATGTCACAAACCAAATAACAGAAACGCCGCCCTGCCTATTTAATTACTGAGCACATTGTTTCCCATGACGCGCACTCCACAGACGCGCCGTGCCATGTCACGTCTTTAACTGCCGAACACATCGTTTTCCACGACTGTGCGCGCACTCGCATCTTTGATAACTGTGCACGTTGTTTTGTCTGACTGTACATGTACCGGCAGCACACACCGCGCAGCTCCTGCTGCCACTAATTTACATTATATTTGTCCCATATTGGCATTAATATACATACTGACTGCAACTTGGACCACTAAATAAATAGACTGCTATTGTTATGCAAGTATGAGGGTTAGATTATTTAGTGTACAGGTAATTTCAAGAGTGATAAAGTAATGGAAAATATTTATTTTCATGCATTTTAAATGTTTAAAAATGTGGAAACCACTCACTGAATCACCATCTCCTGACTGCATTATTATTTGTAAAATAGGGGCTTTATGGAGTGCGTGTATACATAGTTATAAGTATAACAGTTAATATTTCATTAATTGAAGGAAATGAACAAATGTCTTAGACCTCAAGGGACTATTTGGCCAACCAGCTTATTCCTGCTTGAAAAGCAAAATGTTATTGATAGTGTAAAAAACATCAAC